AGAAACACATAGTCTCCCAAAACTGAACCAGGAAGAGATAGAAAACTTGAACATACCAATAACAACTAAGGAAATTGAAGATGTAATCAAGACTCTTTCAGCAAACAAAAGCCCAGACATTGACAGCTTTACAGGGGAATTTAACAGAACATTCAAAGAACTAACACCCATTCTCCTCAAACTATTCCAAAAAATTCAAGAAGAAGGAAGACCTCCAAACTTGTTTTATGAGGCCAGCATAATTCTAATTCCAAAACCAGAAAAAGACACTACAAAGAAAGAAAACTACAGGCCAATATCCCTGATTAACATAGATGCCAAAATCCTTAACAAAATATTAGCAAATTGGATCCAGTGATACATTAGAAAATTTATTCACCATGACCAAGTGGGATTCATCCCAGGGATGCAAAGCTGGTACAATATTCACAAATCAATAAATGTGATATACCACATAAACAAAATAAAATATAAAACCATATAATCATATCAATAGACCTTGAAAAATCATTAGACAACATCCAGCACCCATTTCTGATAAAAACACTCAGCAATGTGGGAATAGAGGGATCATATCTTGACATAATAAAGGCCATATATGAAAAACCTACAGGCAACATCATACTCAATGGGCAAAAACTAAAAGCATTTCCCTTAAGAACAGGAAGAAGACAGGGATGCCCACTTTCACCACTCTTATTTAACAAAGTACTGGAAGTCTCAGCCACAGAAATCAGACATGAAGAAAAAAATAAAAGGGATCCAAATTGGAAAGGAGGAAGTGAAACTGTCATTATTCGCAGATGACATAATATTATACAGAGAAAATCCTAAAGACTCCATCAAAAATCTGCTAGATTGCCCTGGCCGGTTTGGCTCAGCTGTTAGAGCGTCAACCTGCAGTCCTGAGAGACCCGGGTTCGGTTCCCGCTAAGGGCACGTACCTCGGTTGCAGTTTGTCCCCGGCCCTGGTAGGTCGTGCGGGTGGCAGCCACTCAGTGTGTTCCTTTCACATCGATGTTTTTCTCTCTCTCTTTGTTCCTCTCTCTCCCTCCCACTCTACCTGAACAAAAAATGGAAAAATGTCCTCGGGTAAGGATAAAAAAACAAAACAAAAAAAACCAACAAAAATCTGCTAGATTTAATAAACAAATTTGGCAAGGTAGCAGGATACAAAATTAATGTCAAGAAATCGATGGCATTCTTATACACCAATAATGAACTCACAGAAAGAGAAACTAAAAAAAAAAAATCCCATTTACCATTGCGGCCAAAAAGTTAAGATACCTAAGAATAAACTTAACCACAGAAGTAAAGGACCTATTTACAGAAAACTACAGGACATTGAAAAAACAAACAGAGGACGATATAAAAAAAGTGGAAGCACCTACCTTGTTCATGGATTGGAAGAATTAACATCATTAAAATGTCCATACTACCAAAAGTAATCTATAGATTCAATGCAATCCTCATCAAAATACCAATCACATATTTCACAGAACAGGAACAAATACTTCAAAAGTTCACATGGAACCATAAAAGGCCCAAAATAGCCACAACAATCTTGAAAAAGAAGGACAAAGTAGGTGGGATCACATTACCAGATTTCAGGTTATACTATAAAGCCACTTTAATCAAAACAGCTTGGTACTGGCACAAGAACAGGCAGATAGATCAATGGATCAGAACAGAGAACCCAGAAATTGACCCAAGACATTATGCTCAGTTAATATTTGACAAAGGTGGCAAGAGCATACAGTGGAGTCAAGACAGTCTCTTCAATATATGGTGTTGGGAAAATTAACCAGCTATTTGCAAAAAATTAAGCTAGAACACCAACTTATACCATACACAAGAATAAACTCAAAATGGATAAAAGACTTAAATGTAACTCATGAATCCATAAAAATTCTAGAAGAAAATACAGACAACAAAATCTCAGACATCATATGCAGCAGAATTTTCACTGATACATCACCTAAGGCAACAGAAACAAAGGAGAAAATAAATACATGGGACTACATCAAACTAAAAAGCTTCTGCACAGCAAAAGAAACAACCTTCACAATGAAAGGGATCCCACTATATGGGAGATCACAATCGCCAATGATACATCAGATAAGGGGTTAATTTCCAAAATATATAGAGTGCTGATATAACTCAACAAAAGGAAGACAAGGAACCCCATTAAAAAATGGGCAGAGAACCTAAATAGACACCTCTCCAAAAAGGACATACAAATGGCGAAGAGACATATGAAGAAATGGTCAACGTCACTAATCATCAGAGAGATGCAAATTTAAACAACTATGAGGCATCACCTCGCACCTGTCAGAATGTCTGCCATCAACAAATCATCAAACAACAAATGTTGGTGAAGGTGTGGAGAAAGGGGGACCCTAGTACACTGCTGGTGGAATGCAAACTGGTGCAGCCACTGTGGAAAACACTATGGTGTTACCTCAAAAAGTTAAAAATTGAACTGTCATTTGACCCAGCGATCCCCCTTCTAGGAATGTACCCTCAGAAACCTGAAACAGCAATCAGAAAGAATATATGTACCCCTATGTTAATAGCAGCACTATTTACAATAGCTAAGGTCTGGAAACAACCCAAGTGTCCATCAGTAGATAAGTAGATAAAAAAGCTGTGGTACATGTACTCAATGAAATACTATGCAGCTGTAAGAAAGAGAGATCTCTTATCCTTTGAGATGGCATGGAGAGACCCGGAGAGTATTATGCTAAGTGAAACAAGCCAAGCAGAGAAAGACAAATATCACATGATCGCATTTATTTGTGTAATACAGTGATCTAAACAAACTGATGAACAAAATTAACATAGAGACACAGAGGTGAGGTACCAGACTGACAAGCGTCAGGGGAAGGGGCTTTGGGGGGAGGAGAGAGATAAACCACAGAACTTACATGCATGTATGCATGACCAATGAACAAAGACAACAAAGCTGGGGAAAGGGGGGGTTGGGGAGGAGGGTGTCAATAGGGGAAAAATGAGAAACATCTGTAACAAAAACAAATTAATAAAAAAAAGAAATGTGAAAGCAATTAAAAAGTCAAATTAACAGTTAGAAAAATAGTCACAGGGATGTAAAGTATAGCTTAGAAAATATAGTCAATAATATTGTAATAACTATGTATGGTGTCAGATGAATACTAGACTTATAGGGCTAATCACTCCACAAGTTATATAAATGTCTAATCACTGTGTTGTACACCTGAAATTAATGTGGTATTATATGGCAACTATAATTAAAAAATAAAATTTTTGTAAGTCCCAAAATAAGGTATGAATTTCCAGTTACAAAGTAAAAGTCACAGGGAGGTAATGAACAGCATGGTTACTAAGATTAATAATACTGTACTGCATATTTGAACTCTGTTGGGAGAGTAAATCTTAAAAGTTGTCATAACAAGAAAAAAAGTTTTATAACTGTGTGTGGTGATAGATGTTAGCTGGACTTATTGTGGTGATCATTTTGCAATGTATAGATATTGCACTGTATACCTGAAACTAACAGTGCCATAAATATATATATATTCAATAAAAATTTTTATGAGAAAATAACATTTGCAATAATTTTTGGAAGAATCATCTACCTGTAGCAAGGGATGATTGGAAAGAATTCTTAAAATACAAGTAAGAATGGGCAACAAGGCCACATCCTGGTTTCTCCCAAAAATCTTTTATACCTATAATGAACAAATTCAGAGATTATTAGATACTTATGCATTCAAAGGTAAATGAAAAAAAAAAAAAAGGTATCCAAATGACTTATTGATTATCTGTAGTTTGGGATCATCCACAATTCTATTAAAAAAATTAAAGTCCTGGCCAGTGTGGCTCAGTTGTTTGGAGCATCGTCCTGTACACTGAAAGGTGGCTGGTTTGATTCCTGGTTGGAGCACGTTTGGGAGGCAACCAATTCTCATCTTTCTTCCTCTCTCTAAAAATCTATTAAAAAATAAATAAAGAGGGAATTCTACCAGAATTTTCTCAAAATGAAGACTAAAAATGACATAAACATATAACTGGAAAATGTTTAAAAGAAAAGTAAACTTCTGTACTTTGGAATGAAATATTATCTGATGCTGAATACATACAATAATTGCTCTACCATAAACTTCTTTCTCAAAACCAGAGAAACAGGTTTAAAAAATGAATCATCATGCCATGAATTGTACTGCCATAAAAGAAAGCCCTTCTTTCCTGCATATAAGCAACAAAACTACCACATATACAGATGCATGCCTCAGTACCTCGGTGCAATGGTATATTTACTTGTATAAATATTTAAAGTTAGACCTTTGAATTTATAATGAAGTAGCACACCACTCTAAAAAATGAGGCAGTACTAAATTTAGATGTATGACAAATAGAACTTGGTTCAGAATACTAATTACTGCTGCTGATATTCTAAAACTAAAAAAAGTAATGATACTCCGATTTCATCTTAATAAGTCTAATACATGTTCAGAAAACTTAGTAGGTTTTGATGAAAGGTTATCGCTAAAATTTTTAAATTATCAGACAGGCTTTGTAACTGAGGCACAAGCAAGCTTCCTGTCTGGTACTTTTCCCCTGCTCTTATTTTAATGATACACATTCAATTATCACAGGAAAGATAAGAGTAAAATCATAAACATCTATAGTTTACTGTATAATGACTGGGTGTTCCCCAGGGAGACTGACCTTTTCACACAGACACAGGTGCTGAAAGGCTATGAGATAGATGTTCGCATGTGTAAATGTATAATATGATTATGAAGAATTCAATAGACACGGTTATTTTCCACCATAATTTATGTTAACGTAAGCTTGCATGTTATGATTATGTGCTCTTATAATTACTCTCCTGCTCCAGCACATAGTAGTCAAATATACTTGCTCTTAGTGGAGACCACACACCACTAACCTAGAATGCTCTGATTATATAATAAGGTTGAATTCTGTTTGCAACTCTTAGGCAACCATAAATTTACCTGTGACTGGAACCTTGGCTACCATGCTTTCTTCCTTGCTCTCATCTCTGCAGCCCCATGAAACGTCTAAAAACCAAACACATGAAATATGTTCGGGTTATATTTATGGATTAGGCCTTTGATTTTTTATTTTTTTTTGGTATGTGCACCTAGCAGGAACTGAACCCAGGACTCTCTGGTCCGCAGGCCGATGCTCCGACCACTGAACCAAACTGGCCAGGGCAGGCCTTTGATTTTTTAACTAACATTCCTCTTATTTTCACTGTCTCTCCACCTCCTTTTTGTTTGTTTGTTTGTTTATTTCTTGCCTGAAATAGTACTGTTCCTAAAAGGAACTAACACTAAGGTATCTCTACGTTGTTTTCATGCAAAATAATTTAGCCTTACAGCCATCAAATTTAAGTGGGGCTTAAAATAAGTCAGTCTTAAATTTTGTGCATGTATATCAACTTCTGAATACATCCTCAGCAACTCATAGCTGTCTTGGAAATATTGCTATAGTGGTTACTGACATATCTTAATAGTGATGCTAAAATAATCACAATTTCTGGATACTAAAAATTAGTTTTTACATTTTGGGGGCATAAATTAATTCTTATTCATCTGTTTAGACTTTTAAAATGTATTATAAAGACAACCTTAAAAAGAATGTTTATAAATTATGAGTAAATTTTATTAAGTGGCATCAAAAACTTCATAGTACTTTATGTGAATTACTTTTATTGGAGTCATTTTCATCTTTGTATAATGATAAAAATTATCTACTGCCCAGTGATTAGTTTTGTTAAGATATCGTAACTTATAAAAACATAATTTATTGAAAATTTAGCAACACTGCAGACCTACAGTTAGGTTTTCTATCCCTGTTAGACTAAAAAAAAAAATCATATATTTATTGAAAGGTGGTATATAAAACAAATAACCTATTGTGCATATTAAAATCAGAGGTATTCTCTAGTCCCCTTTATTTTATAAGTATACTTTGAGAAAGAGGGGGTCACGTTGACTGTGAATGGAGTTTTGCTGTGGACCAACCCTTTAACAATAGTTACCTTGTTCCCTTGTAAGAACTCTGTTGAACCACAGATTGGGTTTCGCTTCCTTTATTCCACTATTGTCATTCAGAATAGATGGCAAGCTGCAAGATGATTCATTACTGTGAATAGCCGACCTATCCTCACACTCTTCTGTGGGGGCTCTTTTCAGTAATGCTATTACCTATAGTGTTTAAAAGAAAGCACAAAGAAATAAAAACAAACTGTAGCTATATTCCCCTTGTTTCATAGACCCATTCTTCAAATACAATTTAGGTTAAGCTTTATTTAGGATTTAATTTGCTTTCTGACATTTAACTGAAATTAAAATGTTTGAAGATGAACTAACATCTGATTATTTTCCAGCAGAATTCAATTCTTTACAATAATTTACACTAGAAGTAATACATTTTTTTGAACTGAATCTTATGCAGACATGTTTTTCTCCTTGGGAAATATGTGTATGAGATATGACCACCTCTGTTAATCTGGGATGGTTTATCCAAGATTTTCTTTTTCATTACATGAATCCTTTGGTGGACTGAAAAATAGATCTGGAAAAATGTGACCTCGTGGTAGCTCCATTCTTCTACAAATAAATTACCCCTGAATTTCCCCCAAATGGAAAGACTGGGGGAAAATGGTGGCTGAGTAGGAGACACTAAGCAAAAAGAAAACTGTTCTAAATGATAATTTTCAATCAAGAATAAAGTTACTCTGGTGCTAAGTCTGCTGGGGAGCTTGGGAAACTTAATCACCATACTGCCTCCCTGTTTTCAAAGGGCACTGAACTGTCTTACCATAGCACCTCATGTGTCTAGGAAGGTGGGTACAGATTTTATCACAGACAACTTAAGAGGTAGAGCAAAAGTGCAATAAACAGGACAGGTTAATATCTCTTAATTTCAAGGTCAGCACTATTAAAAATATGCTAACAAGAGTAAAACAACCAATGATTGAGAAGGCAAGCCACGTGCAAATAACCCCCTTAGCTGACAGTGCAGAGACCCTGCCTTTGGCTTCTGTAATCCCACTTGTCCCTTACATCAGTCAACCGCCTAAACTATAGCAGAACTAGAAAGTCTCCAAATACCCAGAAGCTTATAATGTATGAAAGGCAGCTGGAACCCAGGCATGGGGCCCAGCCTTTGGAGGTGACTCCGCAGGGCCAGCACCAGTGCACATTAAACAGTCATTTTCTAATCCTCCAAATGTGTGCAGTCTGTCTCTTCCCACCCACTGAATTTCTGCCACAACATTTTGGTGTTTTGGCCAGAAAGCCGACAGCTGTGCTGGCCCCTTGAGCCACCATTGTTGGAAGCCAGCAGGGAAGGGCCACTACTTCCAGGCCCCTGCGACAGAAAGGAATGTGCACTGCTGGTGAATTCACTGGACCTCGATCCTCACCAGGCCTGACAGTAGTCGGCCTCTACAGCACTCAAATGGACTCCAGGGAGGACAGAAAAGCCTGCTAGGACATTGGATTGCTAAGTGTCCCTGGAGACCCAGGACCAAGTTCAGGCCCATTTCAAAGGTGGAAGGGGAGCTTGATCACCTCCCAGGCAGCACAGACGCCGCACAGGATAGGGAATTCCTGGGTGGAAAGTTTAAATTCTGTGTGATTGTGTGTGTGAATGACCATGCTCCACAATGCCTATTACGGAGCCTGTGTGAGTCCCAACCTGCGCATCCGTGGTGACCTCATACGGCTAAGGGCAGTATCAGGTTCTTGGGGACATTGTCTCTGCCCGCGAACCTGATCTGAGTCAGGGGCTTATACTGACCTGCCAATGCAAAGAGGCACCTAAGTCCTCATGAGGGGAGCGGCCAGGCGGACAAAACAAGAATTTCCTCCTGTTTGTCTCGTGACATAATTCACTGGGAGGTTTGTTTAACCATCTTAGATATTGTTGTGGGGGGAGGTTCCTCCAAACCCACTGTTTTAAAATGTATGATTAAGAATTTTAAAAAGGGGTTCTCAGGAGATTACAGGGTCAAATTGACCCGCAGAAAGTTATGCACCCTCTGTGAATTAGAATGGCCCACCTTTGGTGTGAGATGACCCTCTGAAGTCACCTTGATGTCCCCACAGTCTGGACTGTGTACAGGGTAGTCACCAGAAACTCTGGCCATCTGGACCAGTTTCCCTACAGAGACCAATAGTTGGAAATAGCCCAAATCAGGCCTCCTTGGGTTCAATTCTGTATTACTAGTCAGGGACAGTGTAAGGTCCTCATGACACAAGGTGAAAGGAAGACTTCATGGTGAATTAAGTGGCCTCCTATATTACAAGGGGATTCAGAAGAGGCCCCTGCACTGTCACCACCATATGCCCCACTACCTGAGTATGGGGAACCTCACCTGCTCAATAGCCCACCTCCATCTGTCTCACCCCCACCTCTGGCCAATGTGCCGCCAGAGCCAGGGACACTGGAGCCAAGGTCACTGGAGCCAGTGGGAAGACATTTCAGGTCAGTGACCCAGGGACCAAAACCCCCAGTGACAATGCAATTGTCAAGAGGTCCATAGAAAATAGGCCCTGATGGGACCCTACAAAAGGGGGGATCAGTCTTTTACTATCAGCCATTCTCCACTACTGACCTCCTTAATTGAAAACACCATATGCCACCATACTCCAAAAAACCCCAAGCGATGACAGACCTCCTAGAATCCATTTTTTCAGACTCATTGCCCCACCTGGGTTGACTATAAACAACTCCTACACACCTTATTCAACACAGAAAAACACGGGCGGGTTGTCACAGAATCCAGGAATTGCTCCAGACCCAGGCACCAGCTGGACATCTAGACATAGAAGCCTGGGCAGAACAGGCCTTACCTGATGAGGAACCCCTCTGGGGCCCAAATACAGAGGAGGGAAGAAACTGGCTAGAAAGATATCGACTTGCCTTCTTCCTCCAAGGGATGAAAGCAGGGGCCAAGAAACCCGCAAACATGACAAAGAGCTCTGAGGTCTTACAGAAACCAGATGAGAGTCCAGCTAACTTCTATGAGAGACTACATGAAGCCTTTAGAGTCATACTCCGTTTGACCCAGAGGCCTCTGAAAACCAGTACATGGTCAATGTTGCCTTTTTGGGACAGGCACAGACCAACATCAGGTGAAAGCTTCAAAAGTTAGAGGAATTTGCTGGGAAGAATGCCACCGAATTACTGGAAATTGCCAACAAAGTCTTTATAAACTGAGAATGAGCAGCCAAAAAGGAAGCAGACAAAAGAATGGAACAGAAGGTGGCTCTCCTAGCCACAGTCTTGGGGAGACCAGCTTCATTGGTGGGACAAAAACAGACATGAGAAATTAAAGAACCAAGAAAGTAAACAACCCTAGGATGGGACCAATGTACCTACTGCAAGGCATCCGGACACTAGAAAAATGAGTGCCCCAACCGCCAGCAAGGAAAACCAGAAACTTCTACTCCACCTAGCGACTACCACCAGAGGCCAATCTGATCGGCCTGGCAGAAAAAGACTCTGACTAGGGAAGACTGGGCTCTATCTAACTAGGCCACCATGAGCCCATGGCCAAAATGAAGGTTGGGGGCCAAATGGTAGACTTTATGGTTGACACAGGGGCTGAACACTCTGTGGTGACACAAAAGGTGGCACATCTATCAGAGCAGAAAGTTAACATCGTGGGGACTACTGGAACCAAACCATAGACCATTTTGTGGCCCCCAGCAATGCCACTTAGGAGGCCATCAGGTGGTTCATGAGTGTCTGTATCTACCAGACCGACAATACTGCATTTGGGCAGGGACCTCCTGGCAAAGATGGGTGCAGAAATAGCCTTTGCTCTGGATGGATCGGCACAACTGTGACTAGGTGAGGCGGCACCTCCCATGATTCTGTCCTTGGTGATACCATGGGAAGAAGAATGGAGGTTGTATACCTCCCCGCCTGATGAGCCAATGCTGGCCCCAGAACTGGAGGCTGAATTCCCATTAGTGTGGGCAGAAGAAAACACCCCTGTCTGGGCAAAAACCACACACTGATACTGATTGACCTGAAGCCTGGAGCCCAGCCTGTCAAAATACACCAGTACATGGTCCTGTGGGAAGCATATTTAGAGATTCAGATTTACCCAGACTGACTACTCAAGTGGGGACTTTTAAAGCAATGCCAGTCCCTGTGGAACACCCTCCTGCTTCCCATAAATAAACCTGGGACAAATGACTACCACCTGGTACAAGACTTAAGGGCCGTGAATGAGGTGGTCATCATGTTGCATTTGGCACTGCCTAACCCATACAGTCTCTTAGGACTTATACCTTCTGAGGCTGGGTGGTTAACATGCCTGGACTTAAAGGATGCCTTCTTTTGCCTCCAACTAGCGCCCAATAGCCAGCCTCTGTTTGCCTTCGAATTATAGAAATGATCTCTGAACATATTGTCTTCTGTTTGCCTTCAAATGGGAAAACCCCACCACAGGACCAAAGAAATAATTCACTTGGACTAGAATACCTCAAGGATTCAAGAATTCATCAACTCTGTTCAGCAGGGCACTAGCGTCTGACTTAGCCAAGTTACCAAGACGGAACTTAGGATATGTCCTCCTCCAATATGTAGATAACCTCCTACTAACCAGTCCCACTTGAGCCCAGTGCTGGGAAGGGACCAATGCTTTACTCAGGCTACTGATGAAAGCCGGATATCAGGTATCAAGAAAAAAGGTGCAAATTTGCCAAAAAGAAGTCAAATACTTAGGTTTCAAGATCACCCTAGGGGCTGAAAGGAAACAGGCCGTCTGTGCTATTCTGGTTCCCACTTCCCATTGACAGATTTGAGAATTCCTGGGAGCAACAGGGTTCTGTCGAATATAGATACCCAGATTTTCAGAACTGGCAAGATGAGACCCTGAAAGGAGAAGAAAAGGCGCCCCTTGTCTGAAGCCCCGATCAAGAGAAAGCATTTACAGCAATAAAGACTAAGCTCACTGAGGCACTAGGATTCTCGGACGTATCACAAGACTTCAACCTGTTTGTGCATGAAAACAACAGAATAGCGCTGGAAGACCTAACTCAGGAGTTTGGGCCTTGGCAGAGACCAGTAGCTTACTTCTCAAAGCAAACTGACTCAGTTGCGGCAGGCTGGCCACCCTGTCTGAGGGCCTTAGCGGCCACTACACTGCTAATCAAGAAGGCAGACAAACTCACATTGGGACAAA